TATAGAATAATTTTTACCTCTCGTCCAAAGGAATGATTTGACTGATGCAGTCTGGGTTGAGAGTGGTCCATGACTACTTTGGGTGGAGCTCCAGGAGGTGGAGGTGGCGGTGGTACAGGTACGGGTACTGGTACACTCACAGGAGGTGCATGTGGAGAGGGTTGAGGTACAATATATGGCTTCTCTGGTGGGTGACCTGGGGGGACAGGTGGACCCCCTATGTGAGATACCATTGCACTGCCTGTGAAGAAAAGAAAATGAAAAATGTCAATATCTGTTCTTTGAATTTTAAACTGAGGATTGAAATTATTGGAAGTGCCATCAATTAAATTTCAGAACTACGATAGATTTAGAATTAGAACATTCAAGCCTGGTTTTCATAACAGGGCAACCTCAAGCATCAACAATATTCGTAATAAATATTACAAAGTTGCTAGTGAATAGGAAACATGTTATGAACAAACAAACAGCTGAAAGCAAACAAAATATTCTGTTAGTAGATTACAGGAAGCTGTAAATGTTATTTTGCATGCAGATGTTATTATATATGATGGAAGCAAACACAAATAAAATAACACAATAAGCAGCCCAGCATGTTAGTTTACATCAAAACTTTTATATTTTACAAACACCAGAGAATACAGGAACTGCCAATTGATGTATTTTCTTTAATGTAACTTTTTTTGAATGTTCAAAGTACGTGACAGTTGCTGGGAACATAATTTTGTTGACATCCATAACTGTATCAATGCTAACTTGCATAGAATTACATTTACGCATATTAATGAGGTCACACCTATCTGAGTGTGATGCTAATTGGTCAAGAAAAGAAGCCAATCATGTTTGCTAGGGGCACACTCACTTATCATCCTTCAACAATATTATTGTTATTATCTACTCGGCAGTATACTGTGCATGTATCTACAATTTTTTGGAATTACATTTACGCATTAACAAGGTCACATGACCCCATTCTTAATATCTGCTAACATGTACTGTAAAAAAAAAACCCAACCAGACACAAATTCCTAAGGTATGCTTTTTATTACCATGAAGTTTAGTGACAATATGCAAATTTCATAAAACCATGACAGGAATGTTGAAACATTTTATTTTGAGTAAAATATCACCAAAAAATTCATAAACAAGATATTAAATTATTCTTGTGAGTTATTTAGTTTATGATGTATAAAGTCTGAATATGGACAATTTAAATACATCAAAGTCAGAAATCAATCAATGTAAATATGTAGCAAGTTTGAATGAAATCGGGTTATGCCAAAATCTGTTCCAAAATGACAGAAACATCCAGGCATGTCTGAGAAACAATGTCAAATGAACAAAAACTCCTGTTTTTTTTATATCAGACGAGAGATGGTGGTGGATATCGTGCAGTTTCAAACTGACTCACATGACTACAAGAAGCAAAACCTTTTTTTGGCCTTAGGCTTAGCAAATAAGCAGAATGATGAAAAACAATGCAAGCTATAGTCTGAAGGTGATAGAATAGAAAGGACAAATATGAATCGGTATTAAAACAAGGTCACACACTACGAACAGTGGCAAGAGAGTAATAGCAGAAAGCAGCGACAAGAAACAAACTGCAATAAAGAGGGTTCGATGAAACGTTAGCCATGCAAAAACTAGGGCACACCAGGAAGTGTTCTCACTTGGTATATTATGCTCCATATGGGACAGGCTTGGCTGCATTGGGTCAGGACCAATAAAGCCATTTGACCCAGCCAATGAATTGGTAGGTACTGGTTGTCCAGGTGGGCTGCCAACATGATCTGCAGATAAAATAAGAGTCATATATATCTCAATTGACTGTTTTGTTTTTGTTGTGTATAACTTTTTGATGACAGTGTTAAGATAGAACAGTGTAATACAAGATGACAAAAACAATGAACAAAAGATAACCCTTTCACCACCAGTTTCCTCTTTTCATCACAAATTCACAATTTACAGTCTGCATTTTTCTTCAGAAGATTGATACAAAAAATGACCAAATTTTTTAAAATAAAACTGAAATTTTACTCAAATTTTGTTTGTTGGCTCCAAAATTAGGGTTCATATCCAGAAATATTGAAGAATACAAGAAAATAGTAGAAAAAAATATGGGTGAGAAAGTCTGGTGGTGAAAAGGTTAAAGATCTTACAATATATTTCGCACAAACACACCAAAATATACATAATAAGCAGTGTATATTGTATAGATGTAGGCTGTATGCATATTAAACGTCCAATCATCAGCAGTCATAATTATCATGTGACATGATCAAACCAATTGGCATTAACTATCAGGCTCATTAATACACACATTTGACCTTTGACCCCCTACTGTGTGTGTGGTTGATGTGAGGATGAAAAAGACAAGATAGATAATGTTAACACCAGGAACCCTTACCAGTCGTGTGTGGTGGAGGTAATATTGTTGGTCTGTTGGGATAACCATCACTCTGTGTGGGAGGAGGGTGAGGTAGCTGAGTCTGCTGTACAGCAGGGTGTTGTATAGTCTGTAAAGAGCCGTTACTACCCGTGGGAGCGCCCTCGACTTGTACACACTCGTGTACAAATTCATCTTTCACAAGTCTACTAGGTGGGCCTGTAAACAAAAAAAATGACTGGTCAATAGCTGTATACATGTAGTTGTATAGTGAGCTGTGATTGGTTAATAATCAGGTTGTCTGCTATAGGTAGCTGTGATTGGCTGATAATCAGGTTGTCAGCTATAGCAAGCTGTGATTGGCTGATAATCAAGTTGTCAGCTATAGTGAGCTGTGATTGGCTGATAATCAGGTTGTCAGCTTTAGTAAGCTGTGATTGGTTAATAATCAGGTTGTCTGCTATAGTGAGCTGTGATTGGTTAATAATCACGTAGTCTGCTATAGTGAGCTGTGATTGGCTGATAATCAGGCTGTCGGCTATAGCAAGCTATGATTGGTTAATATTCAGGTTGTCAGCTATAGAAGCTGTGATTGGTTAATAATCAGCTACATTGTATGTGTGGAAATATTTAATACACATTTATTAATGTGACATATGACATATACTGCATTTATGTGTTTTATAAATGTGGCGACTGTTACTAATCACCAAAATACATTTAAAAAATAAAAATTTGCCTAGTTGGTCATAGAGGGCGCTACATCAGCTCATGAGGACAGTAATTTGTTAAAAGTTTCTGCCATCAATCTCTGAATAGGAGAACGCAATACAGTGATATACAACGCAAAGTGCCACATTTTGCTTCACAACTGTGCAAATATCACTTCACTACAATATTGAATAAAGTTATTTGTTTAATCTTATTGGGAAAAAAATGTTTGATTTGGTTGTCCCATAACATTGCATGTTGACATGAGAATTCATACATGTACATGTATCTAGTGGGGATTGAAAAACTATGTTTTTTTCCAAGTTTTTAGTGAGCATAAAGTGCTGAATCTATGTAAATTTCAAATTACTCTATGCTTTTTCTGTTTTACTTAAAGTCATGTTACATGACACTGCAAGGATGAGAAAGTAGTCATCTTGCTGATGCCTGGAAAACTTTGATTGAACCGTTGTATAGCAGGTACAGATGGTGAGGAAATGCATCAACTTTCCTGCATTTAGTTCCACAGAATTGCAGTTTTACCAGCTTTTTACATTTAAAAAATAGACCAACGACCTTTCACTTGTTTTTTCTTTACCGCTAAATATTTAACAATTTAAAAAAAAACACGAAAATGAATATAAATTGCAAGGTAATAACAATGTAACAAATGAAGTATATACACATCAAACTAAATGTAGTAAATTGAAATTGTTTTCTTCAAATTTTACTAAAAATTAAAATTACAAGATGAATTTACCGTAGTATATCGGTTTTCTGTTATTACATTTACTAAAACTAAAAAAAAATACAGAGAACACCCATATACTGTAACCCCCCCCCCCCCTCCTCACACACACACACACACCTCGTGCTACAAACATGTTGAGTAGAGGCTTTTAGTTTATGATTAAATTAAAAATTATTTTAATGACCCTGCATAAAATATAGCTCTAGTTTTCTGTGTGTTTGAGATACACTTTTAATAGAGAAAACTACGGTATTCTGAAGATCCTGGCTAAACTACCAACCTTAGGTGTAATTGACACTTGCTGGAAAACAAGACCTATGGCAAGACATACGTAGTAAGACATAAGCCATTCTTGAGAAGGTTGCACGGGTAAATCCAAAGCAAATCCACCTGCCGTACTATTAAAATATACTGGTGAGAAAAATGACATTCTTTTGTTGTATTGAAAAAACACAATTAACCAACCTGGGGGTATATCAGAGAGAAGTATTATTTTAAAACAAAACTAGGCCATTTTTTTGGCCAAATAAAACAAGTTTTACAAATATATGTATATTGTATATTTTGGATGAATTGACAAAAGAACACAATAAAAGTTTCAAGTCTATTTGTTTTCCAAAATTTTGGTAGAGTTTTTTGATTTAATATTGTCATTGGTGCTTCTGTTTAGATTATTCATGAAATTTTTTTTTTATTAATTTATGGAAAAAACCTTCAAACAAGCAGCCAGTCGGCTGAGATAACTCCGCTGTTAGCAATGCACATGGCAATTAAAGAACAGAAGATATCATTAGAAAATGAACAATATGCATAGTATCAATGCAATGGGACTTGCTGTTTTCAACAAGAATTCAAAAATTTCACTTTTCACCAAAAATGACAAAAATAATCATCAAAATTAGATAATTGAAGATATCACCACGAAATTAACAAGTCTGAAAGAGGTGCACATGTAGTACCTATAAATGTAATATAAAAACAATCGGACTTGCGGTTTTTAACAAGAAGTCGAAAATATCACTTTTTACCCAAAATGACAAAAATATTCACCAAAATTAGAGAATTAAATATATCATCACGAAATGAACAAATCTGAGAGAGGTCCACATGTAGTACCTATATATGTAATATCAAAGCAATTGGACTTGCTGTTTTTAACAAGAAGTCGTAAATATTTTGACATGAAATGAACAAATCTGAGAAAGAACCATCCAAGGTACTTGCATATCAAATATGAAAAAATTCTGACTTGCGGTTTCGAAGAAGAAGTTGAAATGTAAAGTTGACGACAGACGACAGACAATCAGTGATATGAACAACTCCGCTGTGTCGACTTTGTCGACAGCAGAGCTAAAAATTGCTGTGATGCGTAATTTTAACTGGTAACTATGATGACCAAAAACACTAATATATTTTCTGGGTTTACTGTGAGATTGCAAGCATGATGAATAACAAATCTACATAGTATTCAAAGGCTTTGGTTATCCTAAGACATCCAAATTCAGAAACAAAATTTCTAAAAATGCCTTCGATTGGTTAAAATGTAAAGAAAATATTGAAGGCTATGAATACATTCAGGTGACATATCTAAAAAATCACTCATGGCTTTAGTAAATTTTAAGCCCTGCTTTACATTGTGTTGTCATAAGAAGCACTTTCTCAGCACAGACCTGTGTTATACAAATGTATGATGCCTTACTGGCCGATTATGGCTAAAAAAAATGCTCCACTGCCTCTTTACACTAGTGTTTCGACACAAAGCTTGGTTTTTTTTTTCACAATTTAATCACATATTTTAGTGAAATATTATTTAGTGAGTGAAATTTTAATGTCATACATAACTAAATCTGTGGAACACCAGAAACTAACACATAATAATGATAATAAAATTTGCGTTTAAAGTTTGAAATTTCCTGTGTAATTTTAACTAGCTTGAAATAGAACGTACTTGACAGCAATAAAATCACACGTAGAATGCCTTCCAAACCAGAAACTAGCAGCGTAAACTGCAGATTTATGCAATTTTAGGGCCAGTTTTATTTCTACAATATTTACAAGTTTAATTTAGAATTATTTAGTAAAGAAATAACTTAAACAATTCATTATATTTGTAAAATATGTGCCAACTGACGACTATGAGACATTCGAACAAACTCCCGGCACTCTTTGCACGATATGCATCAGATCGGTGTAGAAAGGACGTCGACCCTCAGCGTCAATGCCTGTGTTTGATTTCATGTACATGTTCTTAAGAATCTCTTACTGATTTAAGTTTACATCTCAAACAAAGAAGAAAGAAATTGAAAGAATACAACTAAATACTCCCAGCAGCGTGTCTTTATTCCATTAAAGTTCCTAAAAGAAATTACCAAATACATCCGTCTCTTTAGTGGCTGCTATTGTACATACAGGGAGAAACTAATCTTTATGCCTGTAAGCATTTCTACACTGCGCTCTGTAACATTCGCTTTCTGTTCTAAAAAAAAATTACTTAAAGTCATGTTACACGACACTGTAAGCATGAGAAAGTAGTCATCTTGCTGATGCCTGGAAAACTTTGTTGATTGTATAGCAGGTACAGATGGTGAGAGAATGCATCAACCTTCCTGCATTTAGTTCCACAGAATTGAAGTTTTACCAGCGTTTTACATTTAAAAAATAGACCAATGTCCTTTTCCTAGTTTTTTTTTGTTTGTTTTTTCGCTAAATACATGTAGTATGCCATATAACAAAAATTTTAAAATTATGAGATTATGGCTCAAAAACAGCATTTGTAACAACAACAACCAATAGGAGTGAACATTTAACACAAAATTGCCCTTGTTGTAAATTAATGTAACATCTATTTACTGGCACAACACTAACATTGGAAAGTAAATCAGAAAAAGTTACCAAAAAAAAAATAAAAAACAATATGAATTGGACAATGGTAAAGCATCAAAATATAAAATTTCATTTTAACAAAATTCATTAGCAATAAAAAAAATAAAAAAAAATTAAAAAAAATTACAAAACATCTGTAATTATTTTTAGGCATTGTTTGCTACTTATAGATTTTCTAAAATTGTTCATTGATACTTAGACTAAATTGAACTATGATTTAACATGAACGAATCAGGACACACAGCAGTACTCCTGAGATGAAAAATCAAAACCACTATTACGTATGTAGTGAATGTTAATGTACGTACTAAAACAACCAGTGCACACAGAGTTGTGTTGTTTCATTGAACAAATACTCAGATGTGTTCTACAAAAACAGTTTTCACTTCATGATAAATCATAGTCAATGTATCCATCTGTATACGGGTATTAAACAAAAATATTGATAATTACTCCTTCTCATCATGGAGCTAAAAAGCTCCATGTTCTCATCCATATTTCATCTTTAATAAATTGTGCCACCTTGAAAATGTTTGCGTAATAGGTATAAACTCATTACTGAGACAAATTTATGATAGTTGTGTGCTTGGTTATACCCTAAACTATTGACATTCCTTGTTGTTTGTACTATTGGGCATAACATAATAAGATAAATTACAATTTCCCTTTTGTTATAGATACAGTGTTTATCAAGTTTATCAAGACTAGAAGTAACAATCAGAATAGTTTACACATGGTTTCGTTTAGAAATAAAGTTTACACATGCTTCCACTTTAAGCAGGGTTGGATTTAAAAAGGTTTGTATTGACCAGAAAGACGGAACATAATTATACTACATGTGCTTTGTTTAAGTCAGAGCAAAGAATACTTCTCA